ATAGTTTCAATAATTAAAGGGAGTGTTGTTTTATGTGTGTTTATCCCTGATTAAGAATGATGATGAGCATAAATCAATCGGACTATTTAAAAAATTATGATTTGAAAAATTATGATTAAAATTTTTATTCAGAAAATTAAACTTTATTATTTAAAATGTTACCTAATTTATTCTAAAAGGTTATACTCTTGATAAGTTTTTAGATTATTACATATTTCTGTTTTCTTTTTCTGAGACTCATACTCACAACTTCAGGAAAGATAAAGCCAACAGATTTTGGTCTTGCCATGAGAATCTCCCATGGTGAATATCTGCCTCCTACTTTGAAGAATATTATCTTTTAATTTCTCACTTCGTTTATCGTCTTGCAACTTATGCAAATGTTTGGAGATGTATAGTTATGTTTTGTATGTTATCAATGTTTACAAAATATGAAACATCTTAATTTTTTTATTGGCTTCAAATGCAATGCAAATATGCATGACGAGTTCGAGAGAGAAATTTAACATCTTGTTTGCATATGATGAAGAGAGCTTGAGTTATTAACCGGCCTTTAGAAATTTATGTTCAAATTTACAGGCTCAGACCATAAGAACAGAAGGCATATCTAGGGGAGTATAGTCTTCATATAATAGCGTGGATCATACAAATCATGCATTAAAATAGAACTAATGTTCTTACCGCAGCTTAACAGAAGAAACCTCGAAACATCAATGTTTTTGTCGATTACTGCTGACAAATCACAGAGAAAGTAATACACGAACAGCCTTTACAGAAACTGTTAGCAACATCGACATTTTGGCACTATCTCTCATTGTCAATTGACATTCATTCAGCAGTCCCACGAGCTTCATCTTCTTGACAACTTGGACCAAATATAGACAACAAAGAAGCAAAATAGTGCAAAAAGAACCACGTGAATAATATGGTTAGAGCCGTGCTTGATTATACTCTTGTTCAGTTTCCTAATGTTGTTCTTTACCCCTGCTTGAGCTTTAATCATTGTCATTTGCTGTCATAAAGTGAGATTACACATTCAGGAAGCAGCAAAAAATTATTAAGCATCTTTTTCCTCCAACTATTGATGGCAGGCAAAGCACCGAGTAATTCATGTTATCCTCAACAGAAAATCGCAATTTAAGACAATAAACTGATAGAATTGATTTTGAATGCATGTGTATACATGTACTTAATAAAGCAGGCATGATAAAAAGGGGTCACTGCAGATAACAGTTCAAATCAAGAAAGGGTTAATTATCAAGAAAAGCTTCCTGCTTATCCTTTGCATTACAGCTTAGCAATACCAACTCGATGGCTAACAGGACCATGTCAACCATAAGATTCAAAGAGATGGAGGAAAATAATGATCGGATGAATAAAAGAACACAGTGCATTATGTTCAACTAATAAAAAATTACTTGAATAATACAACATATGAACTGAAGGGACAAAAAACAGATGAAGATCCTATTGCTATGTTTTACACAATAGAGAAATCACATGATAAATACTATGTCAAGGAAAGATATCCGATAATAATTATTTCCCCTTTTTTCAGGTTATTTTCCAAGACTTCCATTGGTGCAAAGAGTTCAAAAGTTTATTTCCCCTCCCCTCAATTTCACTTTGCTATACAAGACATGTAGAAATATTACAGTAAAACCACGAAATGTGTGATAAACTAAGATGGTCATCCCTCATTTTCAAGGAACAATACATCATAGCAATAATTTACAGCATGCAAGAAACCATATAAAAAGACAAATGTGAAGAATGGGTAAATGTAGCTGAAAATAATACCAGCTGATCTAAAAAGTCCTTCTGAAATTTGGCTTCTGATCCTATCTCTTGGGCAACCTGCACCATATTTAAGATTAACACAATTTAGCTAGTTAAACGTAGAGAACAAATAGAGAGGAAAAGAACCCTCCCTCCAGAGAATAAAAGAAAGGTAAAAAAATCGAAGCCAAAGTTCACTCCAAGTGTCAACTGTCAAGTTACAAGTCCTTGCAAGAAAGAAATAAAAATACCGACACAAGTCCAACAGAAAAGAAAAATAATATTAAATGCCATTAGACGATAAATTCTTATAACCGTTGTTTAACTCAATTCAGAGTGACGTTTGATGTTTATAAACAGTGGTTTAAAGTTGATTTTCAATATCTTTTCAAGAAAGAAAATAGACCAAATAAACAATGATAATATTATCACGATTCACGACATCTACAGAGAACTGAAATATATCAAAAGGAATAATTACACTCAGATTTTAGCTTAAAGCCAAACTAAGGTGAAAAAACATGTCAAATTATCAGCAATATCCTTTATGCACTTCATCAAATATAGAAAGAAATATCAAATGAATCGTAGATTATGAAATTAGTAAATCAATCAGTCAACCAATACATGAAAAGGTCTTACATTTCTCAATTGTTTAACTTGGCTACGGAGACCGGAGATCTCATCGTCCAAATCACCATGCATCGGGTCAATCCGCAATTGTATTTCATCGGAGCTAGCCGCCGGTCTCGTGCTTAAACCCTCCCTATTTCAATATTAACAACAAATCAAAATTGGCTCAGACAAACTAAGGGGGAAAAAAAGAAACCTAATAAATTCTAAACTCGCCTCTAATTAAAAATCATTGAATCAAAAGAAACCCAGTAAAATAAAATTAGACCTTGATCGGTAAGGTGTCGCACCACCGTAGAAGGAATCGCCACCGGTTCGGTTCGAAGTAAACGCCATCGAGACGAACGAGCGGAAATAAGCAAAAAGGGCCTTTAAACAATAGGGGAGCTGAGTAAAAAAAGAAGAAATTAACGCGAGAGCTCGCCGATTTAAAAGTTTAAATTTAGACTTAGGAGGGTAGGTTTATTTGTCGTAATTGGAATTACAGAATTGATTTTTTTTTGAATTTTTGTGTTTGTTTCACGTAATTTATTTTTTAGAAAATATTTTCTTGTGTTTGTTTTATGTAATTCATTTTTCGGAAAATGGTTTTCCGTGTTTGTTTCACGTAATTAGTTTTTCGGAATGTAATTCATTTCCCTAGTAATATAATTTCATTTGTGTTTTTTGTAAAATGACTTACGGATTCATTTTTCGTAAGTTATTTTCCGAACTTTTCACTTTAAAAAATAAATACTCAAAATAATTTTATTTTATGAATTTAATATTAATAAAAATATTTTAATATCATTTTCATCAAAATAATATTTATTTATTTATTAATATTTATAATAATATTATATTATATTTTTAATATTATATAAAATAATCAATTATATATAATATAATATATATTTTTATTTTAATAATATAATAAAAATTTTATATTTAATAATGAATAATATTATTTATATATTTAAATAATATTTTAATAAAGATATTTAAAATATACTAATTAATATTTTTAAAATATAATATAACACTATTACTTTAATAAATAATTAATATAATTTATAATATTTTATTTCACTAAAATATACAAAAATTATTATTTTTATTAATAAAATTATAAAAATAATATTTAATAAATTATTTTAATATTTTAAAATAATAATATTATGTTTTATGATAAATAATATTATTTATTATATTTAATATTTGTAATAAATATTTTTTTTAAAACTCTTCAACTAGTGGAAAAAATGTTTAAATAACATCTTCCAAACATCATAAAATTTTTCCAGATGTTTTTCAGAAAAATATAATTCATTTTACGGAAAACATTTTTCGGAAAATATTTTCCAGAAATATAATTCATTTTCTAGAATTCAAATTTCAATAATTCATTTTTCAGTTCCAGTAATTCAAATTCGAGTAATTTATTTTCTGAAAAATTAATTACAGCCGAACAAACAGACTCTTAATTTCTCTCCTTGCCTTTTTTTTACAGATGACGTGCTGAGAGGGAAATCAACCGTTGGCTTATAAACGTGCGGTTCTAGATTCTTTTTTGGATTTTGGGTAGATTTTTTGTGTGTGTGGATAAATTAGGTAGATTTTATAATTATACAAAAATGGGATGAATACCAAATATAATAAATAATAATATTATTTATTATAAAAATTAAATATTATTATTTTATAAATATTATATTAATTTAATCAAATATTATTTATATTAGTGTTATTTTTAAATTATTATTATTTTTAATAATAAAAATTCTAAAATTGAAATATTTTATTAAAATAATAAATATTATTAATTATATTACTTATTTATTAAAAGAGAAATAATATATTATTAAAAAGTATAAATATATTTTTAAATGTTTTAATAATTATTTAAAAGAATTTATACTAAAATTATATTAATATTACACATATAAAATAATATTACTCATTATTAAAAAAAATGAGTAATACTATTTTTAAACATTATAATAATTATTTAACAATGAATTTTATGGTGATTTGTCTTCCAATAGAGGGTTGTGCAAAAGTTTACAGGGGCTAACTATTGCAAGGAACAATCTCACTGGTAGCTGAGATTGGAAACTCACGTAAGATAGGAAAGCTTTTTCTTTCATCAAACCATTAAATTGGAGAGAATCCAAAGCAAATTGCAAAGTTGATTTCTTGCTTTATCTTCATTTGTATTGTAATCAACTTTCTGGTACCATACCCCTGGAACTAGGACTTGTGTCCAACCTTTTTTTTTCAGATGAAGAAAGTCCCGAACCCTATGTGACTTTTAGTTAAAGGGAGTATTGTTATCTCTAAAGATTCTAAGTTCGAGCAGCTGCTTCTGCATTGTGTGTTGTCAATAATTAAGAAAGATTATAAATAGATAATAGGGAAATTAGGGCATAACAAAAGATTTGCAGCATTCATTCCTAAGCAGAAACTGAAGTCTTTGAACGTGATAAAAGTATCATACATTCAAAGTTAGGATCGACAAGACAACAGAATAATACAAGTTGCAACTACATAATAAACAACCGTAACCAAATCTTTTCTTCATCATCCTTGGGACTCTTTCCAAGCTCATCAAGCAGCCCCAGATTTTCATGTTTACATTCTCTTAATCCCAGGACATTTCCTTATTTTGTACTGAACAAGCTAGCAAACCTTGGAAGCACAACAACACTTCTTGAAACCGACTTCCATCACTTCTTCAGGAGGTTCCTCGAGAAAATCCTCTTGCAATACGGGCTGGTACGAAGGATTGTGTGCGGTCGGACCGCTTCGACTAGAGAAGCATGAAGAGGACCCTGCTTGCGTGATGAAAATAATATGTTTCATCCGGAATGAGTTGCTAAAGCATTGAAAAAAGAGGAAATGACAAGTTGTTCCCTTACCTTGGTTACGGCTAAAGCAGATTGAATCACATAGTTGGCAAATGGATCTTGCAACAGTTGTTCAAAGTGGACAACAGAGATTAACTCACGGATGATCTGAGACCGACTTTCTGTGAAATGCTTGAGGCATTTTTCGACCACATGGCTGCTAAATTTCTGCATTGACAGATGAACATAGTGCCCTTTGAACTGAGATAGTAAGTTGCCAACGACCTTCAGCTCTATTATGTACTGAACAACATAGTTCCTGTTTCATATAACAAAAGAATATCAGAATATGAGAGCTCTATTTTCATGATGAAATCCTCCTCTAGTCATTTATGATTTGAGCTAAACTTCTTTTACTCAAGACTCGGTCGGTTATATCTCAGAAACCTGATCCACTAATGAACTATGTCAATCATCTCCCTGTTCTATGAACAAAGATTGTTATTCTGAGATTAGATATTTAGAGAGATGTTGATTGCAATAAAAAGCAATAATTTTACATGCTTGATTGAAGTCAATTTATAAGCTAACCAGAACCAGCTATAAGAATCTTATGTGCCAGAAAACTAGGAAGCAATAAATAAACACCAAGTGCTTAGCTTATTACCCGAAAGGGTCCTGAGCAAGAAGAAGTCCATTTCTAGAAATCTGAGTGATTAGCTTATCTCGATGTTGTCCATTGGAATGAGCAATGCAGCGTTGCAACACACAGCATCCATGGCGATGAGTGGCGATATCTACGCAAAATTTTGCAGCAGCGTCGAAAATAATCTGACAGAAACAAAGGAAACTCGAGTAAAAATATAAGATTTTCAGGTCACATGAAAATGCATAGCATCAAAGTAGAGACAGAATTTTTATAATGGGAAGCGCACTGGAGGGTGACAACTAAGGTATGGAAGAAAGCTTCTTAAAGAATTTAGACAAACTTCTATAAGTTTACAACTCTAACACAAGAGTGCCTGATCAATTATGAGAAGTTGCAAACTATGAAAGGTTCTTCCAATGGCCTAATCACTCTTCAAGTGCTTTACTCATTATCTATCTCACATCACATTATAGCCATTATAGCCAAATGCCCATAATCAAGCCTGTGTCTAGAAGAAAGGCTTCTGCCTGTTTACGATGCACGCCTACGAACAATGAATTAAAATAAACCGTATACGAATACACACACAAAAGATGCCCTGAACCGACAAAGAGGAGAAACATGTTCAAACAGAATGCTATAACCTTCAGAGTTTGTAATGAATCAAACCAAGATATGCAGCCAATTGGCATCAGAGACTAAATTAAGCGCATAGGTACTTGGCCATAGGATAATGACCTCTAAAATAGCCATATAATTTTCTTTAGGAGAATTGAGTGCCCTTTGGCAAGCTGAATTCAATGCAAGAAAGATATATGTTTCACTAGTTGTAATTAAATAATGTAAAATGTGCAATTTTAGATTTAAAAATTCAGTCATCAACAAAGAGCAAACTCATGATGATACCATAACATGACCTTAACAACTTATTAAACAAATATTAGCTTAGCCACACATGAAAAGTTATTCATTTTAGAGAAAGCTATGATTCTAAGGTGACAATCAACCCAAAACAAAATGAGAACAAACATTAAACCTAAAAAATAGTTCATCCTCATCATTATACCTTGTTATCTTCATTGCCAAGGCATTGCAAACAGCGCTGCAACACATGATTTCCATTGAGATCCTTGACAAGATCAAGAATTCCAGGTTTAAGAGCGGATTTGATATGAGAAATCTGTTGTCTTGATTTGAGAGTCTCAATCAACTTCTGTACCACACGCGTACTGAAATATAGCAGTGAATCTACTTAACAACAAATACATATTGAAATAGAAAAAAATAAAATCAAACAATGTCATTAAAGGAAGAGAGAGTGAATGATAAATGAAGCAAATACCCATATGTGTTCAAAGAAATCCTCACTAGCTGCCCCGGTTCTTTGGTCACAGTGAGAACAATCTGCAGCCTTTGTTCTTCAGTGCACACATCCAGCAACTTTTGGACAAGGTAGTTTCCAAAGGGATCCATCATTAGTTCAACAATATTACCAATAACCTCATTGAATATTATCTGCACATCCAAACAGCTTCCTTCATCAAATATCCTTTGTAGGAATCGACAACCCTTCTGGTCCTTAGCCATGTGATAAATGCAACCTTGAAACTCAACCAAGGAATATGGACTTGGCATCAGTGTTACATTTTCCCCATGTATCTTATCATGTTTAGAACTTTTCTCTTGAATGTTTTGCATTGCAATCTCTTTGAGAGACTTCTTCTTTCGGTACTTGATGGAATCGAGGCCCTTGTTATCGATATCATACTTGAAACCTCTTCCTTGAATGATGACACTATGATCCTCCACTACATTTTCCTCAAGAGGAATCTTGCTGTGCAAGAACCTAGGAGAACTCAAAGAATCAATGGGAGCTCTTCCTCCATTGCCATCCAACCCACATTGCTGGGAGCAAACAAAAGGATTCCCAATGTAGGGCCTAGTGCTAAAAGCACTCTGCATTAAAACTCCCCTACTGTCCAATCCCCTACCCTGGTCCATTCTATGCTCCAAAAGATAGCTTCTTCGGTTATCATACCAAGTCGGTAATGAAGACAAATCATTGGACTGATTGTAACCAATGCTGTAAGACCCAAATGAATAATCTTTTTCGTATCCATCTTGCAGCCCAAGCAAGGTGGACCTGATGACATCACCACCACCTAAACAAAGTGGAACTTGCTGTGGAGACGATTGATACCCTTTGTTGAAACCTTCATAAGAACCATATTTTTCAGCATTATAAGAAGAAAAATGGCCAAATCTCCTCATTTGACCAGAATTATCTCCATCTCGTTCTTCATCTCTAATATGCATTTGATACAGATTCTCACACAAACCAAAGCCATCGTCGACCAACTTGTTTTCATCGGCATTCTTATTTCTATAATGAGAATTGGGTGACCCTTTAGAATCCAACCAGAGTCCGTAGTGATGAAACTTGGGCTGCTGTTGTTGGTCCTCAAATAACGGGGCTTCTCCGGATGAAGAAGAAAACCCATTGGTGAAAGAGTTTGAAGGACAAGGAGAAACTCTACCCATTGTTGAATGGTGTCGAAGATTTTGAAATGGAGAAACCTCAAGGCTGTCAACATCCAAGAAAGCTTCATACCCACTGTTTTTCTTCATGTCCCTCATCATCATCATCTGCTCCTTGTTCTCACCCAGCTTAGACATATTAAAAAAAAACAACCCAAATCTTTACAAATACAAAAGAGCACACTTTTTTTTTACATAAAAGAAAGTTGGCAAAAGAGAAGAACACCCCAAAAAAAACGTTTCCTTTTCAGATGGATTTTCGGGTTCTTTTAAAGAGAAAATGATGGGTTTTTTTTTTGTCCCGTATGCTGGAGACTGTTACGAAAACAAAACAAAAAAAGGATGGTGTACGGAGATGTGGATGTGTTGTTTAAGCTCACGCCATTGGAGTGAGGTGCCGGCACTATACTGTCAAAGCCCAAAAAGAAAGTTTAGAGGGCGGAAGGAGGATCTTTTTCGAAAAGGGGTTTGTTTCTTATTATATATTTTTTTGCAAATGATTTAAGGCTTTTGGTTAGCAAACTGAATCTAAATAGACAAATAAAAAAATCTTAACTTCTTTAACGATTAAAAATGCTTGATTTTTGGTTTGATCTATTGACCTAATTTGTTTGTGCGAGTAAACTGTACCATTTTATTTTATTTTACGTTATATTGTAATTAATCATAAAATTAACCTTTGATATTTCTGTAAAATATCCAACTGAAGAGAATTTAAAATTTCATTTTTTTAATAATATAAAATAATTAAAAATATATTTATTTATAATTTTTTAACCTATTGGTAATCTACATATTATAGATGTATTTGTTCAAATATTAATCCCTAAATAGACAAATTTTATCACTAATATAAATAAACTACTTAATAGGTTCGATTGAAGAGAGTCAAAATATATTTAAAACAACAACAATGTTACCTAAAACAGTGTAAGCAAATCCATGCATTCTGATGCTATTGTAGTTTCGAGGCAGTGGATTAAAACTCAGATACCAACCTTCATCGATTTCCGTACCTCGTTACATCTGGCCACTAACAAATTTGAAATTAATTAATTAATCCTTTGGATTTATGCTGCTACCATCGTATTGTAACTGAATAATCGCGTCAAAAACTAACTCATGATTTTGAATTTTTCTCTCGAAATAAATTAAGATATAGCTGCCATATGTTGCATTTTAATGGTCAAATTATGCACCAACTTCAGTGATTTTAGCGATAAAATAATTATTAATAATGACTAAATTATAATTTTGATTTTTAGTTATATTTAAATCTGAAATCTCAAACTTTTAATACATGCTGTACTTAAACTTAAAATCTAAAAAATTAATAATAAATTTTTAATCATTAAAATTATTTAATCGGTTGATTAAATCTTAAAATTAAATATAAATAATGGCATCTTTGTAGGACGTACAGTTACCTCAAAACATGTGAACAAGGATTGCAGTGAAAGGAAATAAAGACAAAAGCGAGGCAGTGTGTGCTTGAATGCCAAATTCCGTTTGCCAAATCCTCTCTCAATTGTACTGTCTGTGACTGTCAGACTGATATATAAAATGGACATTGCCTCACTAAGTGAGGCAAGACAGATCGCAAGTTATTCTAGATTGACTTTATTAAGACTCGATAAATATTTGAATCGAATAGATTTAATTAAAGTTCTTAACGAGCCGAAACGAGCTACTCGATATTTGACTCGAAAAGCTCGTGAGCAGCTCGAAAATATAATATATTAAGATTTTATTTTTTTTAGAAAATAAATTATTAATAATATTAATATTTATGTATTGATTTTTTTTAAATACAGTAAGATTTTTATTATTTAAGGTTGATGTTCGAGTTTTAGTTTGAACATTCAATCGAGTTAAGTTTAAGATTTTTTTTTCATTTCGAGCCTTTTCGAGCTGCTCACGAGCTTCAGTTCATGATTTAGAGTTCGAGTCGAGTTTAAAAATTTTAAGCTCGCGAGTTTTCGAGTCTAGTCGAGCTATATTTCAGAGTTTTCGAGTCGAGCTCAGCAATACTCAAACTCGACTCGGCTCGTTTACACCCCTAACCTCACCTTTTCCTTCCCATCTCTCCTACACCTAAAAACAAACATTACTCCAAAAATTTCAATGTGGTTTCGACGATTTTCATCAAAAATCACCATACACCTATATATTTCCCTATCAGACACCGTTTAGATTATATTTTTTGATTGAACACCTTTTGCAAAAAGGCGCGCTCTTCTTAAACGTGCGTCTCCTACAACGTGCCTTCTTAAACGTGTAAAAAACTAGGGTGTTAATTTTATAAATATTTTTAAAGTGGTGCCTAATATGTAATTAATTTCTGTTAGGGTGATATTTATGTAAAAACGCCAACTTTAACTATTTATTTTTTTGTGATGTTATTTTTAACAACAGTTAATAATATTTATTGACTTTTAAAATTAATTGTTTAAAAATATTAAAATAAACGTTTAATTACAATTGAAAGATCAAATGAATTATTATTCATTTTTTTAAAAATAAATAAAAATGCAATAAAAATTAATTAAAAATTAATAAAATTCAATAAAAATATAATGTAAAGCTAAAAATATCACCTCTTTATTTAAAATATTTTTTCTAATATTAATTTTAAAAAATATAAAATAAATATTAAATTTTAATTTTATTAAAAATGAATAAACATTATTAACTGTTGTTAAAAAATAATAATTAATGACGAGACAAAACAATTTTTGTGAAGATTGAGCAGAAAAGATCAACTCTTTGATCGGATGTTTTTTCGTGGTACAATTGAGTTGATATTTATACAACATTTAGTCAATTTTAAGTTATTGACTTTGTACGATCGAATTTTCATTCGATTCTTGTAGCTTTCCACACCTATGACTGTTTAACAATCATAAACTTTGCTAAAATAAACTTTTAATTACAATTGAGAGATCAAATGAATTATCATTTATTAATTATTATTTTTTAACAACAATTAATAATGTTTATTCATTTTTAATAAAATTAAAATTTAATATTTATTTTATATTTTTTAAAATTAATATTAGAAAAAATATTTTAAATAAAGATGTGATATTTTTAGCTTTACATCATATTTTTATTGAATTTTATTCATTTTTTAATTCATTTTTATTGTATTTTTATTTATTTTTTTAAAAAAAGTGAATAATAATTAATTTGATCTCCCAATTGTAATGAAAAATTTATTTTAATATTTTTAAACAATTAATTTTAAAAGTCAATAAACATTATTAACTGTTGTTAAAAATAATATCACAAAAAAATAAATAGATAAAGTTGGCGTTTTTACACATATATCACTCTAACATAATTAATTACATATTAGGTACCACTTTAAAAATATTTACAAAATTAGCACCCGGATTTTTTACACATTTAACAAGGCACGCTGCAGGGGTGTTTTTCTGTAAAGGGTGTTAAATCGGGAAATATAACCTAAACGGTATCTGACAGAGAAATATATAGGTGTAGAGTGATTTTTGGGGAAAATCGCATGTGGTTCCACCCCACGTGTTGCTTTTTTTTAATTAAACAATTCAATATCATTTTATAAATAACGCTAGAAATTGGGATACACTTTTAATTTAAATATGATAATATATTTTATTATATAGAGGGTAAATTCATAAGTTTGATCACCTTTATTTTATTTTAATTTAATTTTAATCATCGATTAAAAAATTATGTTTTGATCACTTACGTTATTAAGTTGTTGCATTTTGATTGTTGGGTTGTTAGCTCTTGTTACTTCGATGTCATGACATGTCAAAATATTGTTAACTTTTAATTTAACATAAGAATTTTAGATAGAATATCAATTTAATTCATAATTTTACAAAAAATATCAAGTTGGCCTTATAATCCAATCAAAATTTCATGTTGTCGGCCACCGATTACCGTTGTAATTGTCCATCATCATTGGCAGCGATTGTACCATAAAATTATTAGTTAATCCCTTTTTAATCTTCTGAACGCGAATTTGATACTCGTTTCACTAAAAATACTATGACATAAAGTCATATATGTCATTTTTGTAGTTATTTATTTGATTAATAATGCTAAAATTTAATTCAGAAATAATTTTATGAAATAAATAATAAAATGTTTTTGAATAAATTAAATGAATAGATAAATTATTTCAATATTTTTATATTTAATGTTTTATATATATTATTATATTATGATAAATAAAAAATATTAAATTAAAATTAAATCATCCACATATATATACAATACAAAAATATTTAAAAAAAATAAAATCCAACATAAAATAAAAATAATTTAAACACATTACAACGATACATATATGTCAAAACATTCACATATAAAAATATATTATTTAAAAAATAAATTTTAAAGCATGAGAAAAACCAAGAAGCAGATTTGGCCTTTATTTTTTTCACATTTTTATTTTTCTTCAATTTATTTTCAAAATTAACATTCAAATTTTAGAACATGAAAATAATATAAAACCAAATACAGTATTTATTTATTTTTAGTTTAACCATAGATATTCAATCAATTAATTAAAATCGAATAATATATAAGTGAATGGCAATCATCATCTAATAACAAAAATATAATCATTTACGAATGTGTGACAACATGTGAGGACCTTCGTATTTATTATAAATTCTTATATTCTTTTCTCAAATTTATTTTTTACTAAATAAATTATATCTTAAATTTTCTTAAATTTAATCAAATTTAAATTCAATAATAAATTCTAGCAATGAACTTACATTGTATCTGAAATTTTATTTTAGGGCTGGATCAAAAGTATAAATGGGTGCCATCCACGTACGAATGTTTTGTAGACTTGGAAGATGACCAAATTGCGTCATGATGCAATCAGCTTTCATCACTGCTTACGTGCATTTTACTTATATAACTAAAACACAATCAAAGAATAAAAAAAAAAAAATCAGATTATTGAAAAAATGAAGTGGGAGAAGATGCTTCAACATCCTCATTAAAACTAAAGTATATGCATAATAAGATATTAATCCTATATACATGCATGTTTATGAGATTTTAGTGGTCCAAAACAAATATAAAAATCAAGGCTCTAATAATAAATATTGAGGAAAATTGAATTGTAAGAACAAGCAAAACTAAATAAATTAACTTATAAATTATTTTCTTCGTTATGTTTAATAAACTATCCAATAAATACATCAAATTTTAAATAGAAAATATAAAAAAATATTAAACACCAAACCACTCACACAAAACAAGTATGACCCGCTTTTAAGAGGGTCCGAATTCAATTTCAGCTTTCTTTGTCTTATAAAAAAAATAATAAAAGAACAATTAACTCAAAAGTGAAAAATAATTTAAATATGACACATCAACAACCCTATTAATTTTTTAATAATAGGTAATAAAAAAGAAACAAAATATAATGTTATGAATGAATTTTAAAAAATAATAATAATTAGATGACCAAAACATAAATAAAATAATATGTGAGAGATAAAATAGATAATTTATCATTTCTTAATTATATGTAGACTTCATAATTTTGGACGTAGGCAGGTAGGTGTCCCTCCTGCCAATTCTCAGCTACTGACATGCCTATATAATTTAACTGGTTCTGCTTTGGAGAAAACACATCTAGTCAGTTGGTCAAGTTGTTTATTTTTGTTTTATCATAATATTATCATGAGTTTTAGATATATTAGGAGTATTCTCCTTTCTTCCTAAAGAATCCTCCACTATTTTTTAAGTATAATTAAGGTTAGATTTAAATTTTGTAAAAAAAAAACTGATCTTAATTTACCCCAATATTATAATATTCCCATTCCATCTATATTTTAAATATAAATTTCCTCAGAGAAAGGACTTTGCTCTAATGAAAAGGTTTCTGACTTTTGAAGCAGCTAATTCGAAATTGAAAGGGATATGATGTGCCAGATAATTTAAAAGGTTAAGCAGTAGGCATGGCATTATCAATTCAGGTGATATTTATGAATATGCATTTATGTATTAATTCAAAAATAATAATAAAATATTTAAATAATTAATTCAATCCTATTTTGATTGCTATAACTATTTTTGTAACATTCAATAAAACTGATATACTTAAATTTATAATACTCTTAATTCAAAATTTTAAAAGATTGCATAATTTAAATGTTGTAATAAATAAATTTTAACTCATATCCAAAAACTATGCATGTGTTTCCGCTTTTTTAAAATAACAAGTATAGAAGAAAATAAATAAGAAAAATGTAGATCAGGAGAAAAAATTATAATTTATAACAATTGTTACAGTGGAGGGTGAACTCGTCGTTTCAATAAAACCAATATTGAAAGTTCGATTAAAACTCGTTTTATTCATCTTTTACTATAACAATTGTTTTAGATTACAATATTTTCTGTGACAATTATATTTTCCTAATTTTTAATAAATTATTTGGCTAAAAAAATCAGGTCTCTTTACTATATTATCAAGTATATATTTTAGTTTCTAACACTTACAAAGCAAAACTCAAAATACATTTTCATAATATAATAGAAAAAAAATGTACTCCATACTTGTATATATCATTTGAAAACAACGGCAGTGCATTCTATTTCACATCAGATGAGTGAGATAAAGATGATTGCTAAAAACCATATTATTATGTGCCATGGGCCACCATTAACAGCATCCCCCACTCTCATTCTTGTTTTCCAAACATTTCATCATTTCTTCTTTTTCACATACATTGATATTATAGTGCTATGCTTGCATCCTTCTTCAAGCTTTCAAAATGACACACAAAAGATTATTTATCCCTAGAATCTCTCTTATAGTGTATAATAGTTTCCCCCTTTATAGTATATATTTGAATGATTAGGTTTTAGAATCTACATGTGAGGTAAAATCTAGGACTACTAATCGATAATTTGAGGTTTGATGTGTTTACAATGTAATATTTATTCATAATATTTCTTAATCATTGATAACACACACCATGTACAGTCGCAATACTTCAAATCTAAAATGAACAACACTCCATTTAATTGATAAGTCTATCATCATTAGATATTTATAATGGGTCTGTATACTATATTAGTAAAATGAAAAGTAAGAAGGAAATAAATTAAGGGAGAGAAAAAGAAACGAGAAAATGAGACTAGGATTTTACTGGTGCAAAAGTTAGCCGCTCCACATTTAAACTTGTATAGTTGTTCTGAATGACAGATCTGTGCACATTAATATATAAGTTGCGATAATGTAATTTATACTCTGCGGGACAAATCCATGAATCAACAGTACCTTCAGCTCTAGAAGAAACGTTGTCCAACCCTTTTTCATGTGTTTTCACGAGTCCAATCTAAAACCCTCAAATGATCAAAGTTCAATCCAACCCCATCTATCCAGTTTCTATGACGTGCTGAGCTAACCAGGTTGACATCGACTTGACCATGGCTTAACACCAGTTCATCAAGTGATGGGAAAGAGCTTCCATGGGACTTGACCCCCAAGCCAAGCATATTATGAGGGTCTTGGAAGAACTGAAAAGGTAAAATGGGGCTCTGATTTTCCAAGTTTAACATTTTCTGAGGCAAATCAGAAGGATCAAGTAAAAGATTATTTAGGGATAAATGAGAAGATGATGAGGATGCAAATGGAGTTGGTTGAAGTACCCTTTTAGCTGAGGGACGTAGAGGGTAGACAGAACCCGATTGTTCCAAATGACCGGACCGAATACCTGAGCCAGAGCCTAAAAGGTCGAGCCTTGGAGAATATGATGGTGGTGCAGGGATTCCTGTGAATTCTTGCACCATTGCTCTAAAATTCCTTGGGTCGGTGGCGAGAACTGTAGTGGGTGCCCTCCTCGATGCCCTTGTTCGCTTCTTGAGATTCTTTGTTGATGATCTTACACCATTGGTGTCATGAGGTGGCCTTGTTTGAACCAACGATGAGCTTGGGAATGAACCACGGTTGAGTCCTTGTGACTGGCTTGATGAAGACGAGCCTGGTAGGTTACCGGAATCCATGGCAAAAGCTCGCAAAGAGTTTTTCTGCCGGTCTCAAAAAAGAAAGTTGTTCATTGTCTTGCTGGTGTCTCACACTCTTTGATATGAATTAGGGTTTTTTGTTTTGGAGAAGGAAAAGAAAGGAAAGGTTATTTAGGTATAAAAAGGAGGAAGAAAAAGAGGGTATTTATGTGATGATCTAAGAATGCTTCCACTAAGATGATCCTGTCTAGAGAGTGCAGGGTGGGGCAGCCATTGGAGTAGAGAAAATAAGAGTTGGATGTGGCTGGCGACGGGTCAAACTCAAAGTGAAAGAGAAAGAGAGAGGATAACTTAGTATACTGTGTTATAAATTACGCATATCTTATAGATATGAATTATTTAAATTTAATAATTTTAAATTATTTAACTCCTAAAATCATTAAATGAATTCTACGTGGTATTGAGATTAATTTAAAGTATATAACAATTAACCACTACCATATATATATGGTTAATTAATCGATACTTACATTGTTAAAGAGAATATGAAAGAGGAATATATATTTAAAATTCCCATTAACGTTCACACTTCACGTTACTATTTCTTTTTAGGAAAATACCGGTTGTTTATATTTAAAAATAAAAAAATAAATAAGAATCAAATAACTTTAAGAGAAAATAACCTCAGTGACCAAAAATCCCATATAATATACGATTTTAACCAACTTTTTCCGGATTTGCCAAAATGACCAACAAAATCGTAATGCGATCGCTAATTCGCAACGCGATCTCCATTATCGCAAATTCGCGTTGCATTTTCGCAATGCGATAGTTGAAAATCGCGTTGCGATGGTCTACAGTATCGTTGCGCTTTTCCCAATTCGCAATGCGAATAAGTAAATCGCAACGCGAATTGGGAAAATCGCAATGCGAATAAGTAAATCGCAACGCGATACTTACTATCGCAATGCGATAATACAAAATCGCAACGAGATACTGACTTTCGCAACGCGATTCTGACTTTCGCAACGCGATTTACATAGCGCCATTCGTATTAACGCGTATTTTTTTTCAAATTCCAAACACGAATTTTTTCTTAATAAATCGGAAAATGAACCGTCCACAGTAATCGCAACTCATAACCTCAAACCCAAAAACACAACACTCAGTCCCATCTCCATCTCTCACTCTCTACGGCGAAATCCGTCCCCATCTCCGAAGATTTCCGTCCCCATCGCCGGCGAAATCCCTCACAACCATTCACAGTCAAAAATCCCTCACAATCATTCAGAAATGGAAAATCAACCTCCGAGGGTTAGTTTTTTTATTTTTATTTTGAAATTTTTGCATTATTTTAGGTTTTTCATATTGAGATTTATGATAAGTTTACTGGTAATTTCAATAATAGATTAACCATTTCACTTAGATTTCTTATTAAATTCATTCGATTGCTGCCAATACTGCTAAACTGTTTAGCCTGTGAAGTTAGTATTTGTCTTTGCTTTGTCTTTTGGTTGAAGTAATGCAGAAGAAGAATAGTTCGAGAATGAAAATCGCAACGCGGAAATAACTATCGCAACGCGAAATAAAAATCGCAACGCGAAACCAAAATCGCATTGCGATTTTCATTTCGCGTTGCGATTTTCATTTCGCGGTTGCGATTTTCATTTCGTGTTGCGATTGTCTGGTCGCGATAGTCATTTCGCGTTGCGATTCTCTCGTTGCGATAGTCATTTCCGCGTTGCGATTCTCATTATCTCGTTGCGATTTTCATTTCAACCAAAAGACAAAAACAGTGTTGCAAATTTTAGTTTCAAGAATAAACTACTATTTATGTTTATTGTTTTGTTTTTAGTATATCTTGACAGTGTAATTTTTGGTATATCTAACTTGGTATGTTTATTGTTTTTTTGTAGAAATTTTTTTCGGCTTCATTGACATTAAGGAATAAAGTTAGCCTAGCCACTACAATTGCTTCGAAGCTTTCAACTGCACAAAGAAAATTGTTTGAAGAAACCTGCTTCGGGCCATGGCTGAGAGTACAGCATCCGGGTGGAGATGCTAGTTTGACCCATTTGTGGCTTCAGACCATGACTAGCGATCTACTCGACAGTATACAACGTGGTGAGGAAGAGATATGGTTTCATTTTCCACCGGCGTATACTTGTTTTGGGCGGAAGGAGTTCTGCTTAATCACTGGTCTACGATTCGGACACGATGATGTAGGCCGGTACACTCGTCATATCACCCGCCCATCATGGTTATCCAGGGTTTTTCCTGATGAGTCAATAGAGAAGCCGAACTTACACGTCGACGACATGAAGAAATTGTTTAATAAGAAAGATGGTTTTACTCGGATGAATGACGACGATGTTGTCCGAGTATGCCTTCTACTACTTTTCTATGCCGGCTTTTTAGGCAGAGAGGCCAGACAACCTATTCCTCAGGAGCTAATATTATTGGTAGAGGACCTAAATGCATGGAATCTGTTTCCGTGGGTTCGTATATATGGAAAGCTACCTGGACTAAGTTGTCGTCTGCCTTTGATGACCGCAAAAGTTTGCGGGGCGATGGGTCGAAATACACTTTGTCAGGCTTTGTTTGGGCCTTTAAGGTAAGAATTTCTATATAATGTTTTCAAAATTATAATTAATTATTTAACAATTACTAATGTTTGTTATTATATTGTTTGTAGATTTGGATATTCGAGGCTTTCCCCAGCATGCGGACATATGCATTAAAATCCTCAGATGATATTCCTAGGGCTATTTCCTGGAAGAGGAAACGTATGTTGGATTGGGAAGACTTAATACCATATGCGACAATAAATAATGTAAGTTAACACAAATACTATCATATATAAACAAGTTATTAATAGTAGACGTTTAACTTTGTTTTAGTTTTTATATTTTTAGGAGGCCAACACTCCATTAATGAGACTGACACCCACGGAGGCTGAGCTTGCCACTGATTGGTGGCAAGCTAGTCAGCGTTTTTTGATGGCACGAATGATGAGCAGCCTCCACTTCCTCCACTTCGAGAGCCATCACCTCACCCAGAGCCATCACCTGATCGACCCGACTATACACCTCTACAACGAGAGCCATCACCTATCCCGTCACATCATCGAGTCTCTTCTCCACCATCACCTCATGATAGGCGACCGACAAAGATGCCACGACTTCTATCTCCCTGTTCTCCACCTCCACGGGATGAGTCAAGGGAGTTACGTGATGAGGTCAATGCCTTGCGTGAGGAGATCGATACTCTACGCGATAACGATGGTGCATGGCGTGTGGAGGTGTCTACTTTACGTGGTGAGGTTGCCGCTCTACGTGAGATGGTAGTATCTTTACAGAATGAGGTTCATACTCTACGCAACGAGGTAAGTTTAAGATTTTCCATATTTAACTTGATGATAAATTTACTCGTAATTTCACTTAAATTAACCATTTCACTTAGATTGCTTAGTATATTTATTCGGTTGCTGCCAAAACTGCTAAACTTTTTACTTTAACACTGTGAAGTTAGTATTTGTCTTTGTTTTGTCTTTTGGTTGAAAGTTTGAAATATATTTATCTTTGTTTTCACTGTTTAAATATCATGTCTGTTTATTTACTGATATTTGTATTTTTATTTAGCGGACCGATAAGGTGGATGCTTTACGTCGGGTTTTTCTTGCACGACAGAGTTCACGCATCAGATGGCGTGCACGTGCTATTAAGTCTCCGTATACCCCAATAGTGCGAAGACACCGCAAGAAGAAGCCCGACTCGCCTATCATCCCTCAAGAGTCCACTCCTATCGTTGAAGAGGCCCCTATCATTCCTCGAGAGTCCCCTCCCACCGTTCAAGAGGCCACTGTCATCGTTGAAGAGGTCCCTCCCACCATTCAAGAGCCCAATTCACATGGCGTCATATGTAGGATTCTTGAGAAACCCTCTGACGTGCCGGACATGATGGATTCAAGTTGGCTCTCGTATGAGTTACCGGCCAGTACCATACCGGTATCTGAAGAGGAGAGGAAACAACTACCGGACACAATTCTGGATAACACCCTTTGGGCTAAGACCGCAGTTGATTTTAGATTTCTATACAAATGAACACCACAAAGTCCATGAAAAGCATCTGGGAAACACCTTCTAACAGCGTTGTCAATTGAGTTTGCCCTATCGGATATGATTGTCAGATTGCTAATAGGACCTATGCAATCCCTAAGATGCCCCATAAACCATGTCCATGAATCAGAGGTTTCAGATTTGCCAACCCCGTAAGCTATTGGCAATATCCCATTGTTAGCATCCATGGCTACTGCTAATAAGTTTACTCTAAGGTATCGACCTTTCAAATGTGCTCCGTCAACTATAATAACTGGGCGCATGCAAGTAATAAACGAACGAATCTACAAAATAATATACACAAGAAATATAATCATTTAAATGTGAAATGCATGTAACTAACATAAATGAGTCAACATAATTATATTGATTTACTAACCGCAGCACCAATGTCGATAAACAGCAACTCAAAGCGTCCATCTCTATCTGTTTTGATATGAGTTACCGACCCATGATTTTTCAGCTTTAAATTGTGACAATAAGCCGGCAGTTGGGCAAACGATGCTTCTGGCGACCCCCTCAACAATTCCAAGGCATAACATTTGGCTCTCCAAGCTTGAGAATATGATATACTAATCTTGAACCGAGCATTCATGTCAGTCATAATTTCATGTCCCCGATATACCCTGCCATTCAAAAACATTAACTCAGCCAGAAAACCACCCAACACCTTTTTGTTTGCCTGTCTATGGTGAGGAAAAACTTGGGTTCTTGAACATGTATGTTTATCAATAAAAGTCCTAACTTGAAACATTGCGCAATCTTTTATCCTCTTTGCAATCATACGCCACGTACAGTTTTTGTCAATCGTACACCTTGTTTCGAAACGATCTTTGCTTGATTTGTTAACTTTTAGTTGATAGCCATCTTCCACACATTTCGTATACAAAGCTATCTTCAAGTCTTCCTTTGTATCAAAAC